TCATAGTTAATATAGCTTTTGTCTTTTGTGAGCACAAATAATCTGAGAAATGATATTTATTAGAGATACCTCTTGTGCGAACATACAACTAAAAATTAAAACTTTAAATAAGACTTATTTGGGCTTTAATTCTTTTGGCCAATCAAAACTTATAAAAAAGGTTACACAGATCACATGTTAGAATTTGGACTAAGCGCCTATGTCCAATCAAAAAATATGGACAATATGGACATAGTCCATATTTGTTCATGTCTAATGGTCCATATTGTCCATGTCCATATTTGGCTAACACTGAATTTTATTAATATAAAAAGGGTTACTTTATATAGCAGAATATTATTTTAAAGGATACTAAACTTTACTTTTTATGTTATAGAGAATTAGACTTTATTTTATTTATTAAACAGTTATAAACATGAATTTATATATATAGACTTCAAACCTTTTCTTATATATTTGAATTTTTAAATAATTAATAAATATATTATTATAATTATTTGTGTTTTTATATATTTTTTTTTTCTTTTGATAATTTTGTTAAAAGCTTTCTTGTGTTCTATATTTTTGAACCAATGTTCTTTAATGTCTTCAATCACTGGACCTTGACCTTCTAGCTATTGCTATAAGTTTATATAATATCTTTTATTATTAAACTTTCAGCCTTATACTATGTTTTATAACTTCAGTTATTTCAAATTGGACTCTAACTTATGTTTATTACTAGGTGGCTTCTCAATCACAAGTTACTTGCCTTTTCTAAAAATAAGTCTGTCTAATGATGTTTCAGATTCCTGATGTTATAGTATTACAATTTCCTATTTTAGAAATGCATCTTTACAATTAATATTACTAGGATTTGAACTGGCAATCTTGTGATTTGTAACTTTGAAGCATAACTGCTATGCTATCAATCCTAAAGGTTTTCTTATATAATTGGTTATTTATCTTTTTTGATAAAGTCTTATAAATACTCTTTGTTAAGTTATTTATCTAATATTATTATTTTTTGTCAAATTATAGAGCTATAGTCAGACCTTTTATAATCACACTCTTTAGAATAAAGTGTTATATGCTTATAAAAAGATTTTTATTAAGATCTGCTTATAAAAGAGGTTTTTTTAATATATTTATATATAATTAGATTTTAAATAGATATGCTTATAAAAAGGTTTTTTGTATAATATACTTATAACAAGTATGACTATAGAAAGATTTGACTGTATAGTTTTCATACTATAATCTTATAAGCAGAAGTTTGTCTAATTAGTTAATAAATTTAATTTAATTTTATATTATTTATATAGTTTAAAGTATTTTTAAAAAAATAAAAACAGGTGTGGGTCCTATAGCTTAGCGGTTAAGCTCCTATGCCCACACAGTCAAGGTCACTGGTTCAAGTCCAGCTGAAGGCAAAAACTAAAAGATTTTAGCCTATGTAACCCAATAAGAAGCCAGTAATTGAATGTGAAGCTCTGTGGTTAAATCCAAGTGCAGTATATGACCAAAGTAGAAATTCCTAAAAAAAGACCCAATTATGGAGCATAGGCACTAGTATAACAAGTGGCTGTAACAAAAGGTTACGGTTATGAAAAGATTGCACATACAAGTCCTTTAGGCTAAGGCAGCACCAACATCCCTATATCTTCTAATTAGGCAGTACCAATATCTCCACACCCAACTTGTAAGGTACTTGCTTGGAAGGATAATCAATGGATTGTGCAAATAAGTCCTAATTGGAACTCAAGAAAAAGGATTTAATTAGGAGAGTAGTTTGAAAGTAACCAAGACTGGAATGGTAAGAGAAGCAGTGAACATGAGGATGAACTGTGAAAAAGGATTAGCCTTATCAAGATTGGAAGCACCTCTGGCACTGTGGAATGTTCTGATATTGAAGATAGCAAAATGTATAGAAGAAGCAACCTGTTCTGTATGTCTAAAGGTACCAAGTCAGAGCTCTGATCACACCTATATAGAAGTCTATGATGATATAAGAATGAATATACTAACATGAATGCTACACCAATCAAGGTTGAGATATCCCAAATTAGAAGTAATAGTAATATTATGATGGTGACAGCTGGAAGAGGTAACTTACAAACAGGTTTGGACTATTATCATAAAAGAGAGTACTAAAGGGACAAGTTAGTTGTATAATTCATTGAAAATAACGTTAAGACCAGAAGGGTGCAAACCAGTAGTGGCAGCAGGGATCTGGCTTAAAATATATGC